CAAAAGAATAAGGCACAATTTTTGTCCTTGAAGAGTTACAGTCAAGTTGGAGATGTCAGACATGAGAATAAGTGCTGACAGCACTGTGACCCCTGTTAACACAGGGACCAAGACCGACCTCTGTTCCCGTGCTCTCTGCAGATGGATTGACACGCTCCACTGTGAGGTCGTACCTTACCTCCGCCTCTTAGAATATGAGCTCAAAGCACGGCCTACGTCTCACTCATTTCTTCGTCTCCAGTGTCTACCCAGTGTCTAGCACATGAGGACCATTAGGGAGCTTTTGATTTTGTTGAATGAATGATTGATTTGACTGTACACAGGGTCACCAGAGCTCAGAGAGGAGAGGCGTTTGCAAAATCAGGCGTAGGTGACTTTAAAGCGGTTTTTTGAAGAAAGACTAAGAGCTTGCTGAGCAGGCAAGAGAGGAAGGGCATTTCCAGAAGAGGAACCTGCAGAGGCAAAGGTGCAGAGATATGAGGCTCTAAGTGGGCTTAGAGAAAGCACAGCTGGGATGGAATGGCTGGAGGTGGGTGTGGGCAAGGAAGCGAGGTGGGTGAAATGAAGCTCCACCGTGTAACCCGGGAGACGGCTGCTGTGGGCTCTGTGGGTCCTCCAAGCCCAGCACGTATTCTCAGCCTTGTCTCTGCTTACCGTTCCCTTCTCCCCAAACCCCCAAACCTGGCTTCTCACTTGCTCAGGGTAGGGGAACCTTCTAATGTTGGTTGACGGTTGATGGTTGATTCTCAGATGAATATTCAAGAGTCACTTGAAGTATTTTGTCGAAAATGCAGACTCTGGGGGCCAGCAGATAGCATAGTAGTTAAGGTGCTGGACTCCTATATGTCTGACCACAGTTTGAGTCCTAAACCTGGTGGCTTAAAAATCACATCAGGTATGTGTGTGTGTGCATGCCCAAAATCCCGAGAGGAGAATGGAGGAGAAGGGATTGCACCATGGCTGTCTCCTATGGGCGATGATTTCTCACTTTCTTTCTCTCTATCTCTGTTTCATTCTCTCTCTGCTGAACACATGTTTCATATGACCAAAAAAAAAAAAATCTTAAAAAAAACAGCACGCTTTGATTTCTCGGGCTGGAGGGGAGGGGCCTGTGACTCTTCATTTCTTTCCTTTCTTTTTCTTTTTTATCTAGAGTGTGTGTACACTCACCAAAGAGAAACAGAGAGACAGAGAGAGAGAGAAGAAAGCATCCCCCATGAGGAATGGTCATGCCTCAATCCTGTCTCCTCCATCTTTTCCCCCTTTGGGGATTTGAACATGCACGTACATGTGCCTGGTGTGCTTCTCAAGCTGCTGGGTCTGGAACCCAAACCATGTGGTTGACCATGTGGGATCCAGCTGGCTTAACCACTAGGCCTCAGAGTCGGCCCATGACTGCATTTCTAACGGGCTCCCATATGACACCAATGGCGTTGACCTGGGACTTCATTTAGAGAACTGAGGTGCCAGGGCATCCATGTGACTAGGGAGGCTCTCTGTGGCCTCAACTAGGAACCCCGAAGGCAAGAGGAAACTGCTCTTCTCCAGGGTGCTGGTGACATTGCCTCTCCCAGCAGGGTAGGTAATTGAGTGCTGTCTAATAACATCTTCAGTGATAAATGGCACCAGGCAGAAGTGCCAAAACCACAGGCTTCACTCCCGTGAAGGCCCCTCTTGGACGCTGGTACCTTCCTTCTGCAAAACACCTCCCTGAGCCTCTCTTCCCAGGCTCACACTGGCTCCTAGGAAGCCTTACTCTTAGAGAAAATGGAGGTGCAGCAGGCTGTGGGGAGCTTCTGGGGTAGACTTCCCCCGACTCCCCTGCATCCCCCTGCCAGCGCCCCTTGTCCTTGCTCTGGTTTCTACTGACCTTGGTCCTTGAGGGCTGAGTTGGACAAAGGCTGCTCTTGGCCTGCATATCTAGTTTCTCTTAACCAAATTCTGGCCAGCAGCACAACTCATGAGGCAGCACACTTTACTGCCTCAGATGCCTCTGAGATAGAAGCTTCTAGAACCAGAGTGAGACCAAGTGACAGGTCGGCACCTTCCTTTACTTTCCTAGGCCTCACAGGCACCCTCAGCTGCCTCCAAAAATAGCAGCTTCTGGCCCCAGTGTGACATCAAGTGAGACAGGTAAGCAGCTTCCCTCAGCTGCAAGGTCTCATGAGCATCCTCCCCTGCGTTAAGAAAAAGGAGGAGGCCGGCAACGTTAAACCAAAAATCTCCGGCAACAGGGCTGGCCTGACATGTGTCTGCGGCAGCATGGATGGCTGTGCTGCAGACCGGGACTTGGCAAGTGGGGCGGGAGCGGGAGCTGGGGCTGGGCTTGTGCCAGCCTATTCCCCTGGGCATGCCTGTGAGCCTGGATGGTGGAGGAGGCCTCCGGGCCCGAGGGCTGTGGGGATGGGCCCTGGCCTGGTCCTGGAGGGCCCTGGCTGCCCTTCTGTTCTGTCCCTGAAACTCCTTCCTGTGAGCCATGCACTTTGTGGGTGAGCCAAGGAGCCAGACCCAGTGAAGTGACAGAGGCCCTTGGGGACAGAGTCTTTGCATGGTCTGGGCATGGGGAACCACAGAGGACTCTGTCCTTCTGGCAGCCCTGCCTCTAAGATGTGGTTCTCGCTGCTCTTCCCCAGCCTGGAACAGTTTGAGGCCCAGGTTCCCCAGTCCCTGAGTGTCTGATCTGAGCCAGGCTGGGTGCTGGGCCCCTTTCTGTCCCCCACATCCTGCCCTCAGCATCTTCTGTCATCTGCAGGGCCTAATTGCTTCCATCTGTCTTCCTCCTCTGCTCTTCCCTGTGTCAGCTGGAGGGCCGGTTCCTTGCCTCCTTCCCTGGGGGATAAGCAACACGGACATTGGGAATACCCCATGTTTCATGAGGACGCTATGGGAATCTTGGCCCTGACTCTGCCCTCAACTACCCTGTGAGACTTGGGCAGGTTAAGCCCCTGAGCCTCTGTTTCCTCATTTGCAATGATCAAAGAAAGAAAGAGAAGAGAAAAAGAAAGAAATCACCTACCCCAGGGTTTACGTTGCTTTGAACTATCACACGTGAAGCGAGCACAGAGTTAACGCTCAGAAACATCGGCTGTCCCTCAGCGCACAAAGGCCCCTCACACACGTGTGCGTTGCCACATGAGAAGCTGCGGTCTACTGGACTGTCTGGAGAAGGCTGGGGGTCCCCTCTCCGCTGAGGGCCACCTTGTGCTCCGCCTCCAAGTTCTCCTACGTGTGACGCTAGCTTCTTTTTTCTTCTCTTTTCAAACTAAAAACTTCTGGATGGACACAGAAGAGAGGGCTGTGTCATGAGCCCTTCGCACCCACTCCCAGTTAGTTCCCACAACCAGCAACAGTGTCCAGTCTGTGTCCCCTACTGCTGCCACCATTTCCTCTCAGAAACAAAATGTTTTAAAGAATTATTTATTGGGGCTGGTAGGTGGCATGGTGGCTAGGGGTGCTGGACTCCCACATGGCTGACTGTGGTTCACGTCCTGGACCTGGTGGCTTGCTTTCTCACTTTCTCTCTCTAATCTGTCCCTCTCTGGTCAAATTAATATAAATAAAGTTAATTTTGAAAAACAAAAAGAATTATTTATTTAACTTTATTGATGTATTATTATTTTCTTTTAATTTACCAGAGAGAGGCAGAGAGAGAGAGAGAGAGAGAGAGAGAGCAAGCAAGGTGCTAGGTCCAGGACTTGAACCAAGGTCATCCATGTGGGAGTCCAACACTTCAACCACCATGCACCTGCTGGTCCCACCCCTGGAAAAATTTTAAGACATTTCAGTGATCCTGTCATACTAAGGAATGCTCCTGTGCGTATCTTTAACAGGTGAAGAAGATGTTAAAGAACATAATCACAACCTTTTTAGCATACCCAAGAAAATGAAGAATTATCCATGAATATAATCTAATACGGCAGACTGGAGAGTAGCACAGCGGTAAAAGGCTTGAAGCCGTGAGGCTGACCCGCATGAGAAGGTTCTGAGTTCGCCATCCAGGGACCTCCCTGAGTACACTGGGTTTGCATGTGCCAGTGACCCAGGGCTGGCTGCAGCTGGGCATGGACTGTGGTGCTGAGCCTTTTTTGGGGGAGTGCCTTTGTATCTGTCTTTCTTTTTAAATTTTTTGCCAGAGGGTGCATGCACTTGCCAGAGAGAGAGAAACAGAGAGGGAGAGGGAGAAAGCATCAGTCAGTGGGGTATAGTCATGCCCCAATGCTTTCTCCTCCATTTCTCCAGCCTGTCAGGTTTTCTGGGTGCACATGCACAGGTGTCCAGGGGGCGTTTGAAGTTGCCAGAGCTGGGATTAGAACCGTACGGTTGGCTATATGTGATCCAGCTTCTTTAACCACTAGGCCACAGGGCGGGCCCTTATCTCTCTCATTGATGGAAGAAATGAATATGTAAACTTTAAAAAAATACCAATTATGTATAAATGCATACATGTGTATGTGTGTAGTCTAATACCCAGTCTACATTAATTTTTCCCAGTTGTCTCAAAAATGTCTTTTTCCTGTTGATTTGTTTGAGTCAGGATTCTCCAAAGGCACATGCAACATCTGATTGCCAGATAGCTTAGTTCTTTTTTACACTGACCTGTTTTGACATGTTCTGTTTTCAAGAGAAATACCAGAACAGTGAGGAAGTCATTACTTCCTGAAAGCCTCTCCACTCAGTTCCCTGAACCCTTTCATAACAACATAAAGACAAGCATCTCCTCTTTGGCCCTTTTTTTTTTTTTTTTTTTTTTTCTTTGTTTTTGTTTCATTTTGAATGAAAACTAGTTTCCCCCTTTCAGCAGCTCTGAAATAAATGGATTCCTTTAACACCTTTCAAGACCCAGCAGTCATCTAAGTGAAGAAAAGAGGCTGGGTGTGCTTTAGTTCTTGTTTTAGAGGGTAAAAATTGCTCGGAACTTTTTCTTTCCAGGAAGACTTTTTTATGCCCTTCCACCTGCCTTTTGAAATCCACCAACCACAATATTTACTCTATCCCCCTTTTTTCTCTCTCTCCCTTACACACTCCCTCTCTCTTTTTAGCAGCAACATACAAGCCGGCCATATTAGGGAGATGGAAATAAAGCTTCCTTTATATTGTATATGTCTTTGAAGTACATCGTGCATTTTTTTTTAGCATCAAACCATTCCTTCCGGTCGTCCTCTGCCCCTCACATCACCCTCTCCCATAGCCCACCCGACCAACATCTCAGTCTCTGAAAATGTACAGAGATGCCTGGCTACCTCGCCCTGCCTTCAGTCTCACGGGGCTCAGTCTCTTTTTCTCTTTGGGTAAGTTAGACTCACATCTGCATGCTCCCAAGGGTCCAGAGGTGCAGCCGCAGCTGGAAGAGGAGGGGGCGGGGGGGGGGGGGAAGGAAAGAAGACATGCCCAGCGCTTCCCTGTGTGTCCTTGGGAAGGGAGGCTGGGAACTGGGGGACAGGGCTGGGGACTGCATAATGCTGGCACTGCTTGGGCACAGACATGCTGGTCTGGGGAGTTGAATGTCGCGCTGGGGTAAAGATTGTCCAGGGAGGTGACTGTTCTTTTTTCCCTGAAACAGACGTACATGGCGGTGGGGCAGAGGGAAGACTGAACTGCGGTATCTTCTCATGGATTTTTTTTTAAGCTGCTATAAATGTAGGGTCCTGGGACTCAGTCTTCCCTGAAGGGCTTCTTTTGTGAACCTTGACCCATTGAATCGGGTGGATCTGGGGTACTAAGAGAGTAGGGGGAGGTGGTGGGCAGAAAGTTGTCTGGGTCTGGGTTGGTCGAGCTGATTTGTGGAAGTGTGTGTGGGAGTGGGTGGGAGGAGGCTTGAGGGACGGTCGCTGGGTTCAGAGGAGACCTTCTGAAGTGGGTCTGATGGAGAGGGCACCTCTGACTGGGGCCAGATGGAATGGATGGAGGGCCAGGTGAAGGGTTTTAAGGGAAGAGAAGAAAAGGAACCCATGGGAGGAGCAAGGCAGTGGCCCTTTAAAGCCCGTCTTAGAAGTGTCCAGGCCAGTCTCCCAGACGGCCCTGTTCAAGGGACCCCAAATGTTAATTTCACATTTGACCACTCATTGATTTCCTGGGCGGCGGTGGGGTAGGTGGGCCAGAAAGTTATTTGCAAGTCTATTTTATAGGTAGTTTCATTCTTGCTTCTAAACTTAGTCATCCATGGTTCAGCGACCTAGGGTCAAGCCCACGATTGCTGGGGGTGGTGGAGGTTGGGAATGGGAGGGTGCTATTCCCCATCATGCAGTCAGTCTCTCCTCTCCGTCTCTCTCCCTCTCTCTCTCTGGTGTGTGCCATGCTAGGTTTTGGACAGGAAACCGCGCAGAGCCCTGGCAGCCTGCATGACAGGGCCTGTGAGCCTCAGCCAGTTGACAACAGAGCAGGAATGTGATGGGCTCTCGGCAGCAGGAAGAGTC